CTCCTCACTAACCTAAAAGTATGAATTAATATTCAAAAGTTGTGAAAATTAAAACTTTCCGAAGGGGGACGGAATTTCCGAAAGTAATCCGGACGCTGTTATATGTAGTTCGTTTTTTTTTTCTTTCCAATTATAGTCAAAAATAACAGAAAAAACACATCCAAGACGAGAAAATGGTTTGGTCCGAGTGTAAATATGTGCGTCAAATGAGGTCAATTTCAGGTCATGGACCTAGAGCATGCGCAGAACCCTGAAATGTAGTTTGCGCATGCGTATATTCCGCTTCATTATTACAACCAACTGCTATGTCATACTACTGTCCGATTATCAATTTGTATTTAATGGTGAATGTAGTCTGATGCCATGATCAATATTTATCAATTAAGTTTCAGTGGGGGGTGGGGGTTTTGGGAAAAAACTAAAAGAATTAAGTTTTTTATCCGACTTCGATCTTTTGACGTTGTCCCTTACAGTAGAAAGATTTAGTGCAATGAAGGCTCCAGTCAATTAGAATCAGGTACTCGATCACTTCTAAATAGACATGGTACAAAACTATGTTAATGTTAGTACTTGATTATGTCTCAAATTATGATAACAAAACATTGCCAAATGGTCAACTCACATATGTCAATACTCCAATAGAGAGGTAAATATGCTATAACTGGATGTTGGCATAAATTATAAGCCTTTTTAAAAGGAGATTTATCCCAATGATCTATAATTTCGCAAATCCCATTATACCCTAATTCAGTGGCAGAACCTCTGACAAATCCCATTACATGCTAATCCAGTGGCAGAACCTCAGACAAATCCCATTACACCCTAATCCAGTGTCAGAACCTAAGACAAATCCCATATCATCCTAATTCTGTGGCAGAACCTCAGACAAATCCCATTACACCCTAATCCAGTGGCAGAACCTAGACAAATCCCATTACACCCTAATCCAGTGGCAGAACCTCTGACAAATCCCATTACACCCTAATCCAGTGGCAGAACCTAAGACAAATCCCATATCATCCTAATTCTGTGGCAGAACCTCAGACAAATCCCATTACACCCGAATCCAGTGGCAGAACCTAGACAAATCCCATTACACCCTAATCCAGTGGCAGAACCTCTAACAAATCCCATTACACCCTAATCCAGTGGCAGACCTCAGACAAATCTCATTACATTCTAATCCAGTGGCAGAACCTCTGACAAATCCCATTACACCCTAATCCAGTGGCAGAACCTAGACAAATCTCATATCATACTAATTCAGTGGCAGAACCTAAGACAAATCCCATTACACCCTAATCCAGTGGCAGAACCTCTGACAAATCCCATTACATCCTAATCCAGTGGCAGAACCTCTGACAAATCCCATTACATCGTAATCCAGTGGCAGACCTCAGACAAATTCCATTACACCCTAATCCAGTGGCAGAACCTAAGACAAATCCCATTACACCCTAATCCAGTGGCAGAACCTAAGACAAATCCCATTACATCGTAATCCAGTGGCAGACCTCAGACAAATTCCATTACACCCTAATCCAGTGGCAGAACCTAAGACAAATCCCATTACACCCTAATCCAGTGGCAGAACCTAAGACAAATCCCATTACACCCTAATCCAGTGGCAGAACCTAAGACAAATCCCATTACATCCTAATCCAGTGGCAGAACCTCTGACAAATCCCATTACACCCTAATCCAGTGGCAGAACCTAAGACAAATCCCATTACACCCTAATCCAGTGGCAGAACCTAAGACAAATCCCATTACACCCTAATCCAGTGGCAGAACCTAAGACAAATCCCATTACACCCTAATCCAGTGGCAGAACCTAGACAAATCCCATTACACCCTAATTCAGTGGCAGAACCTAAGACAAATTCCATTACACCCTAATCCAGTGGTAGAAACTCAGACAAATTCCATTACACCCTAATCCAGTGGCAGAACCTAAGACAAATCCCATTACACCCTAATCCAGTGGCAGACCTCAGACAAATCCCATTACACCCTAATCCAGTGGCAGAACCTCTGACAAGTTCCATTACACCCTAATTCAGTGGCAGAACCTAAGACAAATCCCATTACACCCTAATCCAGTGGCAGAACCTAGACAAATCTCAATACACCCTAATCCAGTGGCCAGAACCTAAGACAAATCCCATTAGACCCTAATCCAGTGGCAGAACCTCAGACAAATCCCATTACACGCTAATCCAGTGGCCAGAACCTAAGACAAATCCCATTAGACCCTAATCCAGTGGCAGAACCTCAGACAAATCCCATTACACGCTAATCCAGTGGCCAGAACCTAAGACAAATCCCATTAGACCCTAATCCAGTGGCAGAACCTCAGACAAATCCCATTACACGCTAATCCAGTGGCCAGAACCTAAGACAAATCCCATTAGACCCTAATCCAGTGGCAGAACCTAAGACAAATCCCATATCATCCTAATTCAGTTGCAGAACCTAAGACAAATCCCATTACACCCTAATCCAGTGACAGAAACTCTGACAAATCCCATTACACCCTAATCCAGTGGCAGAACCTCTGACAAATCCCATTACATTCTAATCCAGTGGCAGACCTCAGACAAATCCCATTACACCCTAATCCAGTGGCAGACCTCAGACAAATCCCAATACACCCTAATCCAGTGGCAGACCTCAGACAAATCCCATTACACCCTAATCCAGTGGCAGAACCTAGACAAATCCCATATCATACTAATTCAGTGGCAGAACCTCTGACAAATCCCATTACACCCTAATCCAGTGGCAGAACCTAGACAAATTCCATTACACCCTAATCCAGTGGCAGAACCTCTGACAAATCCCATTACACCCTAATCCAGTGGTAGAAACTCAGACAAGTTCCATTACACCCTAATCCAGTGGCAGAACCTCTGACAAATCCCATTACACCCTAATCCAGTGGCAGAACCTCTGACAAATTCCATTACATCCTAATCCAGTGGCAGAACCTCTGACAAATTCCATTACACCCTAATCCAGTGGCAGAACCTCTGACAAATCCCATTACACCCTAATCCAGTGGTAGAAACTCA